AAGGCAAAGGACAGAGTGGGTTGGGGAATGCTGGAAGGCGGCCTATGCTCCACTGAGGGGTAACAAACGTAAGCAAGTAAGTAATAAGTTAGTCAGTCGGTCATAAGAGATACAGGATCTAGGAGATATGTTCATCGGTTTAAGTTATCATATCGAATGAACATAATAAGATGGAATTATCAACAAAAAAAATCTCATGGTAAAAGTAATAACAATATCAATGGTAATAGAAAAAATTATACATCGATAATACAATTCAAGAAGAAATTCTCAATATATGAAACAAAATTTACAAGATAATTTTAAAACTCAATGTTTTCGAGAAGACAATCAATGGATAAAACTACGTCATCTCGATTTTTCTTGAGTAATCTTGTTTAAGCTCACCAACCATTGGTTACAGCAGACCTAAATTCGGTGGTCTACATTAACTGATATGATGAGTTCCACAGTCGATAAGTTTACAGGTTGATGCCAAGTGTTGAATTTTCTTCTCCTAACTTTCTTTCAACTTAGTACCACTCTTCAAACAACATGAGTCGATGTATAAATTGTTTAAGCATATGTAATACATATTCAATCCACCTCAGTCAATGAAGATTAACTACCTTATCAACCCGTTTACCATCATTATGTAATACTACGTGACAAACTTCTATATTGTTCAATCGGTTGTCCCGAGCAATGAATACCAAAAAACATTTATTCAGTTCTATTCAATAAAACAGATTTATACTTTTTTGGCTTAGAATAACTAAGAATAAATGCTGCCGTACATTCTGATTTCATTAACTTGTAGATTTTATTGGAATCGTTGCTGTTTGATAGAAGAAGAAAATTTTGCATTCAATCATTGATGTAGTGTTGTGTAGTTAGTCTGTGAAAATAGTATCACTATGAAACAGATGGTTTTCTGACTGATAAAAGATTATACTGATATCAAATCACACGAAAAGATCAAATACAATTCTATATTCTCGAGCTTGTTTATATCTAATAGTTGAATTAAAAGAAATGTTACCGTTACATTTTGAACACATCTATCTTACACTGATTTAAAAAATACTGTGGTGTAAGCTACTTATATTCTTACAAGTAGTATATAATGATAGTCAAGAATAGAATGTATTTGAGTAGAAGATCGAGAATGGAAAGTAATTGGTATGAAAATGCAGGAACAATGAAATCTCAGACGATGGAATGATATTTGCAAAAGAAACAGTTAATTTTTGAAATAATGGATTGATATTTTGCAAATTACCTATTTCAATAGTTGAAATCATAAGTCAGTTGAAGCTAGATCACCATGGAAAACCTGGAAGCTTCAATTGACTCATGATTTCAACTATTGGAATTAATATAATCTCCACAAAAATCCTTTCAAATGACTAACTATTTACTGTACGGTTCTCAGGTTTTATTGAGATATTCTGTAATTTCGTGTTCAAATACATTCGATCGTTATTCTATTTATTTATTTAACACATAGATATTGGTACAAGGAGATACCAAATAGATATGCGCCACACAAATCTCATTTGATATGTGTGAGGGCTGTGATACTGCCCGAGTGCCGAAACCGAAGCAGGTCGTTTTCCAATGGGGCCACATCTGGAGCCTTCGACCTAAAGGTTTGATCCAAAAGGCAGTGGGGTAAAGTCAGCAGATGCAGTCCCATGGTAGCCGGTGACCAACGATTGGTTCATCGCCATTTGTTCCTTCAGGATACTGGAGCCAGCCCATGTGCACCACTGGTATGGAATCAGGGTTTTCCAACTCTCCTAGGTGGATCCTCCATATCCACCAATCCGGTTAAAGCGCCGGACGTTCGCTTTTCGTCCTCTCATTTTTGTAAACAACACCCGTGGTGCGAGAAGACAGTGAGTAGGACTTCCCTGGCAGAGGCTATATATGCGTGGCCATATGAGAGCATTTGGAGAGGAAGAGCGTACTCTCCCCACTCTCGGTCGTACCAGGGCATTCGATAATCCCCATTCGTGTCCTTGTTCACTACAATACTATTTGATTTTACAGGAATTACTATCATGTTAGTGAAGTGTACATTAGATCAAAAGAGTTAATAATCATATTGGAAAGAGATTTGATCGATCAGGTAATATCACTGATTGTCAAACATAAAAAATACTCAGATCGAAGCCGAGTATGATAGTCTCTACTTGATAAATGAACTACAGATAAGAATTATTAATTTTGAGTGAAACCAATGATTTAACGGCAAAATAAACGGATTTTTACATCGTATTAGGCCTCGTGTGATCAGGTCGTTATTTATTTTTTTCAATAGGAGAAATTATGTTATTTAGTTCGGTTGTTGACTAAATTGCCTAGACCGGTTGTGTAGGATCAATGGCTTCCTGTTAACCAAATAACAGAATGCCCTTCTTTTGACTAATAAGTCGACGACATTGACAAAATGGCCAAGATCAATACTTACGCCTACTGGTACAGGATGTAGCTTCCTAATCTCACTTGTTTGACGGCCACAACAGAACACAGTGGGTAAACAAACTTCAACAGTATAGTTGAGTTCATAAATCCAAACTCATTTAATTACCTAATCGCACAGTAGTATAAGTAGAAAAATCCAATATACATATGATTACACCATTAGCAAAGGAAAATTGAATAATAAGTAACTTAGGGAAGGTATAATATAGAAACAGTTAATGTACCACGAATAGCTTACAAATAGGGGAATACAAATATAAAATAATCCAAGTATTTAGTAATTATACAACTAAAATATAAACAGTAGTTCTTCTTAAGATAGTTTCGAAAATTATTATTTTCGCAGTATACGGCTCCATTATAGCAGCCAATCAATTCTCTATACATTCCAAACAGAAACTGAGTCTCTAAGAGTTCCGTTGTATTTTAATGATTGGTTATCTTGTCTGACTGCTGTATAAATGATGAAAATGTATTAGTTCATATATGTATCTGGAAATTGTCATACTATTTGGTTAATAGTACCGGTAAAATTCTTCGCTTAATTCTGTGGCTAGATTTCAATACTTTTACATTACATACATTTTTTTTCGCTCAGAAGAGATTACAGGAATTCATGGGTCTAAATTTCGTTCTAGTCTTCAGTAGTCGTGAAAAAATTGGTCACCATCATCGAGAAAATATTCAGTTACTAAAGCACTAAACAATATTATGTTTGCGAATATCGTTAAGATTGATCAAATTCTATAAATCCATTACCATTTATTCATCATCTTTCTATAATTTTTACTTTAATAATACAGTATTTACAGTTTTGTCGACATGCTGAATTGATACGTTCCATGAACTGTTTGAATATATTAGACAGACTGTATCGAATCTTTTAAAGGGGAATAATTTATGGTAACTCAAGATCTATAAAGAAATTCTTATAGAATCTGTTACGAAAACAGATACACTAAGTGTATTCTTTTCTGATATAGTCAACAATACAATGATGTACATTATAGAATTAATTCTTGATAAGTCTTGTTAATTTGAACACTTGATTCGGTTCATAAGCTATTCTAGTAACACGCAAGCTAGAACTATGCAGCGACCTGAACTCCAGAGAAAAAGCACAAAATAAGCGAAAAACACTTTACTCTAAAGGTTCATTTTTGTACAGAAAAACACGAGTATTTATAAATGTTAACATTTGTTAAATCAACATCATATTTTAACCAATCCACTAAACGACATATTATGCTACTGACCAATAGTAGCACGCCATGTTGATATTCTAGAAAGCCTCATCATGCTCTGATTGATTAGGACTCTTCGGTTCCTTTAAGGCCTCTGGAGGCTCTGTTGAAGTTCTCAGAAAGCTGACTCAACAATCCAAATTGGCACTGATTACTGTAGAGTATCTATTCAATATTTAAGTTTCTATGGCAAAACTTTAAGCATGATGTTTTCCGTAAAACTAAAAGTAATAATCGATTATCAACAGTTTTCATGTTCACAACGTAACCATGATAATTAGTACAATAATATTGTACCTTTAATCGAACTTTTATTTTTTATTTACATTTTGGTGTAGATATGATAGGATCAGTCAATAAACCTAAATATACATGCAACAAATGTACTTGAATAAAACATACAATGAAATGTAATTCTTCAAAAGTTAACAACCAATCAAAAAAATAAGGAACAAAATATCGATTTTTAATAGGTAACCAATATAAAAGAAACAAGTGACATTGATGTTATTCAGAAAAAAAAATAAAAAAAGGAAACAATCACTAAGGTATTTTTCCTTTAAACTATCTACTTGTATTATTACATCATAGTAATATCATTTTTGATTGATATTTATTTCATTGAAATGAAATATTAGAGAATTATATACAAGAAAACAAATAACAACATGAATATCAAAAAGAAAAAAAACTAAAGTTGAGAAAAAAAGAAAAGAGAGATAAGATAAGAAAAGAAAAGATACATAGAATGCAATGAACTAACATTTGAAATAAGTAACTGATTCAACTAGAATACTTACTAGTTACGTAATCATCTATCAGTGGAAATAAACAACAACAACAACAAAAGTGAAGTAAAGTTCATATGGATAACAACTTTTATGTGTCTGCTTTTACATTTTTGAAAAAAAAAATAGATATCACGTCTACACATACAGATACAGTAAAAAAAAAGAAAGAAAAAAAACAACAACACTAAAGTAGTGAAGAACATATAAGTAATGATATTGTAATCAATATACTATTTATTATTCTCCTATAGACAAAAATAAGGGGAACAGTTATGAGATGGAAGAAACAATTGGACAATGAATAGAAAAATTGATTGTTAGTGTAAGAAAAAATACCCCCACCCCCAACGAACTATTACTAATGTTACTGCTGCGGTTGCTAATAATAATACGAATAGTGGTTTATTTTTATAAATGTACAATGGATAGTCCTTGTTGTTGTCTACATTCGAAAACAATGACTATATATATGTATATAAGGAGATGATATATGAAATCATTTTTCGCTACTAGTATTAGAAGGTTTTTGAATTTCCGGCATAAGTAATGGTTGAATAATTTCAGCATAATATGAACCAAATACATGACGATTATGAGCTAATAATGGTAGAAGACGACTTGCTAAATCGGATAAACTTAATATTTCAAATTTAGAAGTTTTAAAACTATTCATTGATTCTTTATGTGGACTAGAAGGGGAAGAATGAAAAAGTAATCCAGTAGTGGTACTACTACCACCTGACATCATTGTTGTCGGGATGTTTAATGGAGGTTTTCGTAAATAACCAACAGAATTAACAGTAGTCCCATTTTCGTTGGTGGAAGAACTGAGTTTATCTTGATCAAGATCAAGCAGAACACTGAAACCTGGAGGTAAAGGTAATGGTTCAGGAGGATAGGATGATAATGCAGAGCGAAGAAAATCCATAGCTCGTTTATCTGAAAGTCAAAAGTTAATTATCATTAAAAAAACCCACACAAGTGTTGTAATAATTGCTTCTAAACGGTAAGTATCATGAAAATCATAAGATACAATACAATTATTTTAACGTAGAGGTTAATTACTACGGATACACAGTTTATCGGGAAGATTAGGGTTTGAAGATGTTATTTAAAGAGTATAATCCAGTGAAATAAATTTGGGAAGAGAAAAAAAGACAAGGAGGAATCAGGAGATTAAAATTTGGGAGAACACAAAGAGTGGATGCACCTGAGCCATTGCAAACGATATACACAGTTTAGTTCTTAAGAAAGTTAAGCATAATGACAGAGCTATCATAGTAAGTTTAATTATTATCGCTATATTTTCGTCTTCTCCCTAATGATAGATAATTATCAGTACTCTATATTGGCATTGGAATCGCTCCTTGATACATTATATAATATGGGTTCTTCCCTAACAATTTCGGTGAGGAACTTCTATTTAAAAAAAAACAATTTAATCTCATATCACTGTCCATTCAATATTACACTCTTTTATGTATCAACCTGATCATAACTGTAAACAGAGAGGAACTCCGATGATAAATTATAAATTTATATATCGATAGTCACCATTTTTCTTTCTAGTATTCATCACAAAATTCAGTGGTAAATTTTTACACACAAAAAGTGGAATGACTACAGTTCATTTGAAGATGATAACACAAATAAAATGATCAATTATTCATTCTATTATAATCAGAGTGGGGTTTTGTGGATATTATTATAGTAATTGAATAGTTGAATTCATGAGTCAATTGATGTGAAAAACCACTATGGAAAATCTGTAAGTACTGAACAGCCGTTTCGTCCTGAAGAGTCCCATACTAGGACGAAAATGGCTATCCAGTGCTTTGAGATTTTCGATGGCGATCCAACTTCAATTCAATCATGAATTCAATGATGAAAAATATTCATTTTATTGTTACCATGGTTGAAATTTAATATATTTATGTACTCTAATGTATAAGTGTGTGTGTGTGTGTGCACTCAGTTAGTTGCCTATTATCATATGACTTAACTAGTTAATTGATTATGTTACGATTATTATTATTATTATTATTAATATTATTATTATTAGTAGTAGTATATAATAATAATAATAATAATAATAGTAATAAAAAATGAGAACGGTAGATAATAATGATAGTAGTGGTAATACCTAGAACTATGTACAAAATGATCATTCAATTAATGACAAGTGAAACATAATGATCAGCTGATAAGAATTAAAAGTAGTATTTAGAGGAAAAAAAGTAGAAATAATTTGCATATACACACATTTAAAAAAAAATGTTATTTTATAATACTTACACATAAGTTTATAAACAGGATGTTCACTGATAATAACTGAAGTCAATTGTAAGCTTAATTCATTACGTCCATAATCTGTCATAGAAGCAGTTGTACATAATGATTTATGGTCAGTTAATGTTGATAAGTTAGATGATGATGATGTAACTAAATTACAAGATTGTATGCATCGATTATACCATAATTCAATGGTCAATATAACTTGTTCAATTATATCGTCAACTAATTGATCAGGTTTACTAAATTCATTATAAGTACAAATGAAAGAAGGAATTAAGTAGTATGAAATAAAATATAATTGAATTATCACATACTTGGTTTCAAGCTATGCTATCAATAGAGAGGGATTTTGTGGAAATTGTAGTAATTTAATAATTGAATTCATGAGTTAATTGAAGTTAGACCATCATGGGAAACCTGGAAGCAATGGACGGTCGTTTCGTTTTATTGTGAGACTCCTCAGAAGTGTGGATCCACCATACTAGGGTGAAATAGCCGTCCAGTGCTTCCACGTTTTCCATGGTGGTTTAGCTTTAGTTAACACATGAACTCAATATGCTATAAATGTAAGGGGACTACTACCGATACAAATCGGATACTGAAACTGAAGTAGGTAGAATGGGGCTTGAACCGGTGATATAGTGTTGAACGAAAATCAAATATCATAACCACTAAGTCATTACGCTATACGAAAGAATATTAAGTATACATGATTTATTCAGTATAAATAAATATATTGACTAAGATCATAAAAACTTTAGAATATATCAGCCCCCAAATGCCCTGGTATGGCCGAGAGTGCTCTCACACGGCTACGCGTATGCAGCCTCTGCCAGGGAAGTCCTACTCACTGCCTTCTCGTGGTGGGGGTGTTGTTTACAAAAATGAGAGGCCGAAACGCGAATGTCCGGCGCTTTAACTGGATTCTAAACCAATGGTGCACATGGGCTCCAGTATCCTGAGGGAACAAATGGCGTATGAACCAATGGTTGGTCACCGGCTACCACGGAATGGCATCTCCTCACGATGCTCCATTGCCTTGTGGGTCAGACCTTTAGGTCAAAGGCTCTGGGTATGGCCCCTTAAGATAACCACCTGCTTCGGTCTGGGCACCCGGGCAGTATCACAGCCCACACACAAATATGGTGTGGCGCATATATATTTGGTGCCCTCTTGTACCAATATTTATGTGTTATTTGTTTGTTTGTTGTTGTTAGTCATATCATCCTCAAATTACTGTCTCTTTTTATCTCCCTCCACTTTTTCTATGAATGTTTTCATTGTTCAAATTATTCCTGTAAAACCTCAGAAATCAAACCGTTCATAATTGTTCCCGATTTTGTTGTCTTCAAATCAGCCTAGCGTTGTGATTAGTAAATGGATAGAGCATCAAGTGTTTATTGTATAAACGGTATAGAGGAGAATGAAAATCTTATTTTTGAAATAACGCTCGAAATTCTCCTTTACACCAATCAGAACACTACACTAGATAACCTGCCAGGAATTTAACACAACTGTGATTAAGAGTACGTGAATGACCTGACTAGAACGTGAGGATATTTCAACGACAACAATCGACAATAATATATACTAATGACGGGTAGAAAAATGAAACACATCTAATATTTGTCATACTATCATCTACTAATCTGACTAGGTAACTAATCAATCAACTATCCTTACATCACATTTAACACTTACTAATTTAAAGAGATTCCATGTAATATTGGTGCAACATCTTGACAAATAGATTTTTTCAATTGTATCATTGCATCATGTGGTAAACTAGTTTCAAGTGGAATTGATAAAATAGGTTTTGTTGCAGTTAATGAAGATAATCCAGTTGTAGTGAATGTTGATACATTCGATGCTATATAATTACATACAACCAGAACAAGAGATGTTAAATTGACAATAATAGTTAATTGATTGCCTAAATCTATAAGACGATATTGATCCATGAGCATTGTCTGTGTAGAGGAGGAAAAAAGAAAACAATAGAAGGATTGAAAAAAAAAAGAATTTTTAACTCATATGTTGGTAAGTAATTCCATTTGTACTACATCCTTATATGCAATCTTCCTTTTATATATTACCACTATTAAATTAACTACTTCTATGAATCCAGCGTTCATCTTGCTGTGCTTAGCCAGTCAGTCAGTAACAACGTAGAACTTCACACGTACGTACATCAGTTCGAGTTGCCACACCACGTTAGCACAGAGATGCAGTTTTCCATTCAAATCCCATAGTGATAGAGGTAGTAAAAGTATAAGCAGTAATCAGAAAGATTAGGGTTTGAAGATGTTATTTAAAGAGTATAACCCAGTGAAATAAATTTGGAAAGAGAAAAAAAGAGATAATGAGGATTCAGGAGATTAGAATTTGGGAGAACACAAAGAGTGGATGCACCTGCACCATTGCAAACGATTTTGAGCCATGTCATTCAGGGTCTCTAACCATCGGTTGCTATCATCTCGCGGTCCCCAACCAGGTGGTCTACACCTACCAAAATGGCTCAGTCCACTTGTCAGTGACTTCATGGATTTGTGCCATGTTTAGGTCTGGCCACCCCTAGCTTTCTTTCAACCTACTCGTACACTATTGAACATCGCACATCGGAGCAGTCGGTGGTTGAGCATACGTAACACGTGTCGCAGCCATCTCAACTGATGAAGTTTCACTACTTCATCAATCGATTTGCCATCCTTACCTAGTACCCATTTCCTAATGAGATATGACAACTTGGACCGATGTACATATGTGCCTGGTCCTACATTTTAGCTGACTGAGATTTGTACAGTAGAACTGTTTAGAAAATTCCATTAGTATGGAAATTTAATATAGAAAATTATATATGACAAAGTGATTAGTAGGGTTTCAATTGTACATTTGCTAATTGAATAGCAGTAAATTAGGAAATGTTCAGACAAACTGTATCTGATTAGATAGTTTAATGTAAGTAACTATAAACAAGAGTTCACTTGAAAGTGACCTCGTAAATTCTACAGTTTATAATATTCTGATCAGATTAGTGAAGTTTAACGATAAATGTATGTAATATTTAACTATTTATAATACTTTGTGATACACTTAACTAGACAGTTCAATCTTCAAAAAGAGCCTATACAGTTTGTGAAAAAAGCTAACATTGTACAAGTCTGCTTTCTGTTTCCAAACTACTGGCTTCCAACAGACTTTACAGGTTGCACAAAAGCCGTAAGAAGCTAACTTGCTAGGAGCAGGACACTTTCAGTTCAAGTCGTAGATTTATTTATTAGATTTCCACTCTCCATAGTGTTAGAGCATCACCACAATTATTGTAGGCCAACAACTGTTGTACTGTATTGTACCAGTTTCGCCTCCCATTTGTTGAACACGGCTTTGCTTTAAGATTATCCGTTAAATAAGGTCACTGATAAGAAATCTATTAACATATAAGAGGCTCTGTACACAAGTACAGACAGAGCGAAGACATACATCAATCTCCTTCCATTGTCCTATTACATCAATGGAGTCCCAGTTTCACCAATCCTCTTCAATTTTGCTATGGATGACATTCTGGGAACAGCTTTTAAGGAAGTAGGTAGTATGGATCCATTAACAGGAAAGACTTTTCGACATTTAACATGAAGACAACATTATCTTACTGTGTGATGATACACAACCAATTCAAACTAGTGTCCATAAGTACAAAACAAACTTTGCACTTTCTAAATGCAAAGTAATTTGGTAAGAATAACAGCAATCTGGAGTCGGAAATTCAATACATCTGGAAAAGTGTGTGAATCCAAGTGCTGTGACAGATGAAATCAATTTATGTATGATAGAAATCATAATGGCTTACGGGGATCTGGATCGCTTTTGGCACTATTGTAAAAATTTGAGTTTACAAAAGATCGGTGAGAGCATTTCTGATACATCTGATCTGAAGGCGTTCGGAAAATACTTGCACTTGGTCGTGGTCTTCGAAGGATTGCTAGGATCTGGTGGTAACGCTATCTTAACAACGCTACGGTTTGACAATGTGTATTTGGGTTCAGTGGTTATAATTCAATCAGTGTCACCATCTTGGAACACAAACTTTCAGGGGCTTGAAATTGTGTTATGAATGTCATAACAGCATTTTCCACATCGCATATGATTTTTGTTACGCTGAGACTAAATGGAATACGTGGGAGAGTTCAATTGATGGCACGGGATCATGATTCAAAAAATACCTGTCTATGACCGACATCTGTTGATCCATTAAGATTCCTTAGTTGAAGCCGTAGAGATGGTGTATAACTCAGTGGTTCGAGGTGTTACTGGATATGACTTAAAAGAGAATTCAATTGCGATGTTGCTGTATTTTTAGGATCTCAACAAAGGAACTTGCCCTAGGAGCAAATAACTGATAAGGGTTATTTTTCTGTAAACAAATTTTTTAGGGTATGATATGTAATGTACCCATTGACCTTTGGTATTTAGTTAAAACGAAATCAATTCTAAGATAATTGTGTTATTTACTGAAAATTAAGTATGATAATGTTGAAAAACATATATACACTCAAAATTTACCTCAGGCCAATCACGATCACGTGGCCATGTCAATAACTTCAAGTAGGCTTCACGTAGTATATTATTCGGTGTCAATGGGATAGTATCATTACTTGTGGTAGAACAACTATCTGAAGTGTTTTTAAGATCCACTGGAGTGTTCTTATTATTAGTGCTGATATTACTGGATGCATTGGGGCACTCATGATTAATTGGTTGATGTGATACATGAAGAAGATTATCATGTGCTTGTTTAATCCAATCACGTGTATGAGCTAAGCCATCAATACCAAGTTCTAAGTAGAATAAAAAAAATCGAAGAAATTGGAAATAGTGATAGGAAGGGTCGAGTTATAAGACTAAAACAAAAATATAATTCGTGATTTCACTAGAATTCAACAATCATTACGATGCTATAATAATATCAATCATCATGTGTTCACCAGTGGCTAGCTTTGAGAGGAATTCTCCAAATTTCTATTGAAAGACCGTAACCACTGAAACTGAACGGTGTTGAGTGTTAGGAAGTTACCCACTGAAGAAAAAAGATGATTGCTCAATATCATGGATTGATAGGAGTTAGACATTTACACCATCCGATACTGGCTTAGTGGTCTAGAGGTTCAGCACTACCATGTAGGGTCGAAGGTATTCGATTTAGTTTCCAGCTGTGAGGTCACGGATGAGTACTGCCGAAGAGTTCCATACTGGGATGAAACAACCACCCACTGCTTCCGAGTTCCAAATGCTTGTATAACTTAGATCAGTTCGTGACGTCAATAGAAAATTCTTGGAATTTAAAGTATTACAGTGACACTAGGATAATACTGATAACGTAGACAGCCCTATCACACAGTAAAACGTTCTATGTACAATCTATATACTGTTTGGTATGTACGTATGTGCAACTTTTCGATGTTTATTACCAAACCTACACCGTTAAATATGAGTACAAATACCCGTTTAAGAGATATTCAGATATTTATGAATTTAAGTAAAGTTGAAATTGCCTAAAATTTAAGAAAAAACGCCTATATTTTATTTACTGTATAAAATACTCCCAAACTGGAACTGTCTGATCATTAGTAAACATCAAGAGAATCACACGGATTTCTGAGAAAAACTTGAATGTGAAAAGAGGGAAGAATGAAATCTGTAAGGTGGCTTCTGATTCAAGAAGTGGTAACAAAAAAAAGAGTGGATCTCACTGGATATTACATAATTTACATAACTCTGAGAGAGAGAGAGAGAGAGACAGTAACCAACGAGAAGACAAATCGTTTATAAGTAACATCTTACGGTATATTTAGGGTTTAAACACCATAATATTATTGCTAAAATGTATACTTAGATGATTATAAACACTAAAAAACACTTTAGTAGAAGTGAGAAAATGTATTTCTTATTCAAGAGATTGAATATCCAAGATACATTATTCTTTGATTCAATGCTTTGATTGGTCAAATGTCTGAATTACACATAACACATTGTACTATTATTAGTAAAATTTTTACAAAAGGATGAGATGACTGTTTTTTTGGCTTAAATAATAATTATAACTGATCATCCATATCGTACATTTCAATAAGTTAGATAGTGGCTTAATAATACTTAAGACACTTAATTCGTAATTTATTATTAGGTTATTGGTTAGAAATCTACTTTCCACTTAATTGTAAATTACCACAAACAAACACACTTAGATTGTTTGCTTGAGGACAAGGACAAGATTCTGTACTTAATAAATAGATTAAGGATGAATTTTCGGAAGTACTTTTCGTATCTTAAATGAACACTTCACAGTTAATTAGTTACATAATTCTTAACAAAACCAAATGATAAAAAATACAGTAAATGATCATACTTACATAACCAATATATATTATACAAAGATGGAAAGTCGCTAGCAGTGGAATCCAGTTTGACACGCATTTCTTCCTATTTCGGACTCGTCAACTGGATGTACCTGCATCTCAAAGTTAATGTTCACTTTGGGACACGAACTCAGTACCGTTCTCTTCAAATGCCATCGCATTATCCACTTAGCTACTTGACGAAACGCGTGTTTTGGATTTTACTGCTAACCATTATTCATCTTTGCTTATAATGCTTGTGAATTAAGGCAATATCGAGGTAATCTGTACAGTATGCACATATGCCAGTAAGAGTCAGTCAGTCAGTCAGTTACAACGTAGGACCAGGTACATATATATGCATCGGTCCAAGTTGCCGTTCCCCATTAACACAACAAAATGAACACCAAATTCATAGAAGTAGTTAAGCCAATGGTGGTAACATATAAAAGAAAAATTGCATATAAGGATATAGGACAGAAAGAAAAAATTAGTTCGTAGAAAGAAAGATATAAAGCGATTTTAATCTCAAGGTTTAAGGGAAGACAGAGAGTGTATACACTATCTACGCCATTGTAATCGATTCTGAGCCATATCACCAAGAGTCTACAACCATTGCTTACGATTGTCACGCGGACGCCAACCAAGTAGTCTGCATCTACCAACATGGCGAAGACTACAAGTTAGTGACTTCAAGCACTGATGTCACGTTTTGGTTTGGCCGCCCCCAACTCTCTTCCAATCATCTCCAACACCGGTTAGCATTGCACGTCGTGGTAATCGGTGATCGGTATACGTAACATGTGGCCCAACCATCTCAGTCGATGAAGATTCACAACCTCATTGACTGATTTACCATTATTACCTAATACCCTGCGTCTAACCTCACTATTACCTACCCGGGGATCCCAGCAGACGCCAGCAATATTTCTAAGGCATCTGTGGTCAAATACTAGTAGCTTACGAGTATCTTCAACTCTTAATGGCCATGTTTCGCTGCCGTAAATGAGAACAGAACTGACTGCCGCGCAGTATACTCGTCCTTTTATTGATAGATGGATATCTTGCCTTCGCCATAGGTGACGTAATTTTGCAAAAGCCAAACGAGCTTTTCGAATCTCTGCTGAGATTTCGTCAGACACCAACCCATTAAGGCTGATGTGCCAATAAGAGAGACTGATCAATTGCAATCCTTAACATCAAATGAGCAGATTCAAACAAACAATACCAAGTGAATATATATAATTTTCATTTACTTTGTTGAGCTTCTAAAAATGTAGCAAATTTTGTTCGTTCATAAGTAACAGCCTGTTGACGAATATATGGTCTCATTTGTTTAATTGTAAAATTAGCCAAATCCATATGCATTTTATCCAATAGAATAAAGACATTTCTAATTTTCAAAAAAGAGAGAAAATAAACATAAACATAAATGGAAATAAACTTTAGAACATGTCGACTTTCTCTTCATTAATTACATTGTAGGAAACCCTTTTTTTAGAAATAACACTTTTGACATTTCATTGGGTAATCTTCTACCATGAGAAGTAATTTCTAATTTAAATTACGCAGATAACATAGTCTTGTTTAGTGAAGATGGTAACAGAGTGTAAAATATATGATCCATTTTAAACAACAAAAACAAATGAAAGGATGTTTATGATGTGATTCCTTCTATCCAAATTTGAAATGTTGCTTTAAGATTAGTTTGCATTAACGCTTAAACTAAGATTGGGGTGTGAAGAAATTAATTGCGTCGATAGCTTCATTCAAAATTTTTATTAGCCTTGATTTAATAGTGTCTGGTAAAATTTCGGTATAGATTGATAAAGCTTGATTGAAGTTTGTTAACTTGTGTCAGTTGTTACGTAGTAATATACATACGTCTATCAACCAAAGGATGAGATTATTGTGTAACAGATTGTTTTGTTCTACTTTATAGCTGCAAAATATGATCAATAAATATACAGGACATTCGTAGGTTACTATTATTAGATCATACGTGCGTTCAAACCATTGCACGTGTTGTTTTGGGACAACTGAAAGATACTGAGGTTGGGCATACGGTACTAGGTAAGGATAGTAAATCGGTTAATGACGTAGTGAACGTTCATCAAATGAGGTGGTTGAGATATGCATTACGCATATCCAACTGTCATCTACTTCAACAGGCGATCTTTTCTGGTGTACCGAAAGACTGCAGTTAGTCAGTCAGCTACAACGTATGACCACGCACATATATGCATCGGTCCAAGTTGCCATACCTCTTCAACACAACAAGATGAACACCAAATTCATAGAAGTAATTAAGGCAATGGTGGTAATACAAAACAAATTGCATATAAGGATATAGGACAGAAAGAAAGAATTAGTTCGTAGAATGAAAGATATTAAGCGATTTTAATTTCATAGTTTAATAGAAGACAAAGAGTGTATATACGTACACCATTGTGATCGATTCTGAGCCATCTCACCCATAGTCTCCAACCATTGGTTACGATAGTCACGCGGACCCCAACCAAGTTGTCTGCATCTACCAACATGGCTAAGACTATAAGTTAATGACTTCAAGCACTGATGCCACGTTTTGGGTTGGCTGCCCAATAAACCAGTGTGAGAAATTATGTTTAGGATTTCAAGTTGGACGTTAGGTTTAAGGATTATATTTAATGTTTCCATCATGAACTAACATCAGTTATAATGCCAAAATGGTATTTAGCTAGATGGATTTCGCGCCAAAATCCAACATCTACTATCTCAAATCTGATTGGTTCATCCATAAATTATAATCTCGCCACATTTGTTTTTTATAATTAAAAATAATTTCTATCATATATTGAACTAATACAATTAAACTTAAGATAATGCGCATTTAACGTAGATTGATCACTCCAAACTGTTGAGGATGTTAAATATCCAACGGTTCATTCAAAAAAAAATCAAAAAGCTAAAATAAGAATCTATACCTGATTGGTAGTAATCAGGCGATAATAGGACAGTAATCTTAAATGATGTCAATAGTAGAAGTGGCAATCTGTTCACGAAGTAGAAACATGATTTATATAAAAATTTTTAAAAAAAACAGATGGTGCATATCGAAAGTATCCGTTTTATTGATCTCACCAGATAAGATGATCTACAAGGAATAAGTCAACTAATATATTCACTAGATGCTTGTATATGCGTTAAACTCTAATTATGAGAGTTAATGATACTTCCCAGTCGTCAAAACTGAAGTATGGGGACTTAAATGTCATTTTTATTCATTTGACTTTATATTAAATCAGTGAAAATTTTCGTATAGAAGAACCCAGTGACCAATCATAAAGTATAGATAAGAAACGGATTAGTTCTCTACTGTACCAAGTTCAAACATAACCCACCACACATATAATAATATACTTGTAATACGTGACCACTAATGAACCGAATATGAAATTACACTTAAAACACAATTGTACTATAAGTGGTAGAAGGCGGAGAAAACAGTACATAATTAATTAGCAATAGTACAACATATAACAACTGTCAACAAGCTCATTAAAAACTTTTTATCTATTTAAACACATAAATATTGGTACACAGGGGCACCAAATAGATATGATTTGAGTGTGGGCTTCGATACTTCCCGGGTGCCCAGAGCGAAGGTGGTTTTCCTACAGGGCCACATCCGGAGCCTTCGACCTAAAGGTCTGATCCAAAAGGCAGTGGAGCAACGTTAGAAGATGCAGTCCCATGGTAGCCGGTGACCGATAATTGGTTCAGACACCATCTGTTCCCTCAGGATACTGGAGCCCATGTGCACCATTGGTATGGAATCAGAGTTTTCCAACTCCCCTAGGTGGATCCTCCATACCCACCAACCCGATTAAAACGCCAGACACTCGCTTTTCATCCTCTCAATTTCATAGACAACACCCTAACCGCGAGAAAGCAGTGAGTAGAACTTCCCTGGCAGTGGCTGTATATGCGTGGCCATGTAAGAGCGTTTTGAGAAGGAGAGCTAACTCTCCCCACCCTCGGCCGTACTAGGGAATTCGGGGGCTTACAATAAGCGGAACATGAAGATGCAACAATAAAGATATAAATATGAATAATAATCCGGAAGAGAACACCAACTGTTTAAACTTTTCTAATATTCATCCAGTTATAATTGACCAATTGTTAATATAATTTAGATCTAAATAGTTTTTATCCAATATTTAAAGTAAATAATATATTAATAATAATGATGATAAAGCTTACTTGAATGCATCAATTGGATCATCGATTTTTCTTAAATCTTCAACTTCTTGATCATGTATTGGAGCACAAAATTGTTTCATTAAATTAATTACTTCATTTTTATAAATTTCTAAACTTAAATAACCAGTTTCTTCTAATTGAGATTTAGCTATATCCATATCCAAAAGATTATCAATAAGTGTTTTCAATGTTGTTTGATTAGGCAAAACTAAACTTTGTAATGACTAAAATAGGTAATAAAAAATACTAAATAATTTGGATAGGAAAAAGAATTCAAGAGTATTAGAACTAGTAACAGTACCATTAACAGTAGAAATTATGGTAAAATTTCGGGACCCAGGATTTAAGAAAAGACAAAGAATTAAAGGATCTGAGCCACTTCAGACGATTCTGAGACATGTCATCCAAATTATCTAACCATTGGTTACGATGATTAGGTAGACTTTAACGAAGCAGTTTTCACCCACCTATATGGACCAGTCAAATTGTCAATGACTTCGTGAAGTGACTCCATATTATGGTTTGTCTGTCTATAGTTTTCTTACAGTCTACCAGTACAGTCGGTTAGTATCAACGTAGAACTTCACACGTACATACATCAGTTCGAGTTGCCACACCACGTTAGCACAGAGATGCAGTTGTCCATTCAAATCCCATGGTGGTAGAGGTAGTAAAAGTATAGGCAGTAATCAGAAAGATTAGGGTTTGAAGATGTTATTCAAGGAGTATAATCCAATCAAATAAATTTGGAAAGAGGAGAAAAGGGATATGAACAACTCAGAAGATTAGAAATTGGGAGAACACAAAGAGTGGGTGCACCTGCACCATTGCAAACGGTTTTGAGCCATGTTATTCAGAGTCTCTAATCATCGGTTGCTATCGTTTCGCGGATCCCAACCAGATAGTCTACATCTACCAACATGGCTCAGTCCACTTGTCAGTGACTTCATAGATTTGTGACATGTTTTGATCTGGCCGCCCCTACCTTTTTTCCAACGTACTCCTAGACCATAAATCCTCGCTCGTCGGGGCAGTCGGTGGTTAGGCAAACGTAACACATGTCCCAGCCATCTCAACTGATGAAGTTTCATTACTTCATCAATTAATTTGCCATCCTTAACTAGTACCCGTTTCCTAACAACTGCGTTACTTACTCGGTGGTCCCAGGATATACGAGCAATGTTTCGAAGACACCTATGATGGGTTGTCAGCTTAATCGTATATCAGCCTACTTACGAGATATGATGGCTAACATTGGTTGGAAAGAATAGCTTGAAAGGAATTAGGTGCAAGGCTTATAGAAGATATTGTGAGTAGAATTATATTTGAAATAATCTTAGTGATTGAATTTTAAATAACCACAGCGTTTGTTTTGCAAACTGGTCCGAACTGCCTCAGGGCAGTAATCTAAGGAAGCTCGGACCAGGTCCTGTGGATAAGACGTTGCGATTATTTGACTTTCAATCATCAAGATTATTTCAAAGATATTTTTAATTTAATTTAGTTGTATGCTGATTACTGAATAAGGATTTTTGGACACAGAATAGCAAGGGTGGTAAACTGATTGCCAACTTTTATCAACTGAAATGACTGAGACATGGCGCACATGAATTTACCCTCTCATTTTTTCTCAACTCTGAACATACTTTTGATTGTGTACTTTCATTTCTCTCTACTATCAGTAGTATAACTTATACTTCGCCAATTTACCTCCAGTTAATTTCCTTTCGTTGTGATGTGGCAACTAGGAATTGATAGACATATATATGAGGACTTATGTTATGTCCATCTGTGAAAGCAACTTATAGTTTATGTTTATTAAAATGGGGAATTACATTTAAACACTTTAAGAAAGATACAATCAAGCTCAATTAGTATCTTAATTTCTTCCTCAGTTTATTAGTCAAAACAATTTTATGAGTACACTTTAAGTCGAAAATACAATGTATTAAGTCTGTCTATGTCATTTGACTATAGAAACTAAATAATATGTTGAATGATTTCAATCTGCAATTTTATAATAAAACATTGAATATCATTGGTGTTGAAATACATATTGAATTGTAATACTAGAAAGTAGATAACCAAATAAATCACATACCTGTTTAACTTCTTCCAGTAAGCGTAAAGCTGGTTCATAGTCTGGAGGATCACAATCTAAACTAGATCGTAAAATATCCCAAAATGCTCTATGCATTGTTTCTTTAATACAATATTCCAAACTTGACAACAACAACAAAAAGCACATTTGTAAAAACTGATAAAAACAAGTATAGTAATATCTTAGAATGTTGAAAGTATAACATAGCACTAATTAATCGTGAACTTAGAATAAGAAACATTTTCGAAATATTTATGAAATGTACTTGTATGTTAAAAATATCAGCATGATAAGTAAGAATGTTGTTGCGACAATAAACCTCAAACCGCTGAAATTAAACGTTAAACTACTGAGACTAGAGCTGCACAAGTTCGATTTATTACGTAGGCCTATAAACGACTAGTTTCTGGTGAATACTTTTTTTAAACAACTCTCTGTCTTCAACTATACAGAGAAAAATGTCTAGAACTTGAACACGTTTTTTACGTATTCATTCTAGATGAACTGAGTTTCTAAATTCTTTGTTATTCTCTTTTAGATTACTCTACTGTTCATTTTAAATCAATAGACCAGGTTGAAGTGGTGCACTATTTTTGTTGTGTCCAGAAGTTAAAACATTAAATTAACCAAGTAAAGTAATGGGCAGGTATTGAAAATATTTAACATACAATAATTGGATCATCGGTTTGAGGACCGCTTCGACTGATTTGGTTTGGTCAGTCGGTCACTAGTACTAGTATTTGTAAAGTTTGATTAACAGCTAAATAGATGAGCCTGAAGTGAATTAACCATATATTACATTGGTCACAAAAACAGGAGATTCAAAAACTCACAATACATTGATGTGCTCTATAGTACAATGGATTAATGTGGTCAGATGGTTGAAACAGGATCTAGGTAGTTTAAAAATTCTTCTGTTATGTGGAATTTGGACTAGGCTTGATAAAGTTCTTGAACAAAGAGTCGAGTGAAAAAATCAAACTTAAATATACTGTTTATATGCTAAAGATCATTTGAGATCGCATACTGTTTCTCCTCATTCTATAGTTGGGTACCATACAACACTTTTGCAACAACAAAAAATACTGAGAAGCGAGTCGTAAAATAATAAGAGTTGCTATATACTGAAGCTTCTAACTATTGAACAAGAATTTAACTATAGAAGAGTTGGTCTATCTGAAGCATTCCCTCTATATTTTAAGCTTAATCTTGAGAAGATTAAAGTGTACGTACTACTTGAGTCTAAAAAAAGACAGCAACAACTCTTTATTAACCATTGATCATCAATAGTTGCTTAATTACCAACTTTCGAGAAGATTATCTTTGAAATGAAACAACTCTCAATAATCAATCATAACACATACCTTTTTTCTTGTGGTTCATATTTTTCCAGTCTAAACTCAGAATCCACAGTTATTTCATGTGCTAAAGACATATTATAGAATGCTTTAGCTGCTTCCGCAAGCTGATTCATTGACACAAACTTTGGAGGTGAAGCTAACAAGAAAAGTAATAAGTAATTTCAAGCAGATACTTAAGTGGATTATATGTAGCACTTTAACTATTTAATGAAATATGCCTATCACTCTTCTCTAAACATAAATTAAAAACATGACTTGAAAGTCGGAAACGTACTTCACTTCAGAGTCACACATAATTGAACTAATTGATTTTTTCTTGAATTATAAAACAAAAGTTTATCTTCAATAGATAGATTTTAATAGTTGGTTATTGAGGTTTATGAAAAATGACAAAGATTCGTCTTTGGATGACTTTGGAGAGGTTAGATTGAATAATGCAGTTTACGAAAGAAATTATACAACGAGTTTGAAACTGATCGTACTTGCTCCACTACGACCGGTAATGAGATATATTGCAGTCTTCGATCTTCAATTCTGGTTACGTGACGAACTCTACCAAGAAAGTATTCAGTTTTACATACAGCTTAGACGGTGACTTCATGAATTAATTTGGAATGAAAAACTAAAAATACTAGCTTCTACTGCACAACTATACGAAATATGCCTAACGAAATTAAAATTAAAGAAACTACCTGTCGATTGAGTTTTGAGTTAATCAAATGATATTACATTGTTTTACATGATCAAAAAGAGCTTATGGCTATATTTGCTGCTAACATTGGGGAACTAGTTCGTACTTTACAAGTTTGAGCACATATGGACATGGTGGGACACAAAATCAGCGTTTATTTTGTCGGGTTAACAAATACCTGCTACAGTTGCAACTCTTAGTTCACCACATTGTTATAACTAAAAAGTTACAAAGCCTAATGATGGTAGTGAGTCATTAACAAAGACATGTGATGGAGAAGAATTAAACAATATCATGTTGGAAAATGAATGAGATCTAGGGACGAAAAGAAAATGTTAAACCCTGATATTTCAAGGAATACAACGAACGAATGCACGTTAGATACTGGGTCTGGTTTTGAACTGTATAACTTTGGATTCTAAATCAAGGGTTACGGTTATTTCACTGCTTACAGTTAAGGAAATCTATGAGGCTGGATAAGACCTGAATACAGTAACTTCTATGAGGGTGTTCAGTTGTGATTTAATCGACTCTATTACTTTACAACGAGTCTATTTTAGACAGAATAACAACCCAATCTCTCCCTATTTCACTCAATACGTAGAAAGATGCCTCGTCTGCACCACAAGCCGTCCAATTGGACAAAAACCGGGTATTTCGTATTAATTCAGTGAAGTAACCAGTCACTGAACCTCTGGAAATTTCTCAGACAGCCATGGCTACAAACAAATGCAACCAGTCAAAAAGTAGAGATGGCTCATGGTGATGATAACGACAAAAAGCTGACCGAAAACTTTCTTAGGAACATGTAAACTGACTAACTTTCGAAAGTTGCCCTCTTGATTTTGAGGGCTTCAACAGAAGTGACTTACGAGGTAGCAATGTGTCTTTATCCTTATCATGACGATTCATTTTCATGGCTATAGAGAATCGCGGAGATTCCAAAGTAGGATTCGCATCAGGTAGAAAGCCCTCATCACATTCGTTGGATGTTTCCGTTTCTTTTTTGTCATCTGAACTCATAATGGGACTACAGTTCATGCACAGCGCGCAAAGCACCCTTCAACAGTAACCTTCAACTGGTTTGCACATCGTTACAAATGGGCATAAAGTTGTGGTAGTACTTATACATACACAAGCCACTGCTGTTATCAAAATAAAGCACTATCTCTGTCGGCCATTCTTCGACTTTATTAGCCACGCCCTGTGATTGAAGATTATAGTAGTGTTACAATATGCTCTTTGGCTATTCTTCATTACGTTAGTTTCGGCGTGGGTTATCAGTGAATAGTATCATCTTTCTCATCAACATGTTGGTGCCACCATATGCAGATGAACCTTCGTTGATTAAGAGAACTCACCTGTGGTTATCTCAGCAGGAGCTTATAAATAACATTCAATTCATAACAATTGCTTTATCTTGCCACTTGATACACCATTTTGTTCTGAATACTATTTGTTACCGTCTAAATCCACTCAAAAGCAGACACCAGTTTGTAGTATTGATTTTTCGGTACATCATTAGTAACTGTCTGTATAGTTATATCTTGAATAACCTTTTTACTGGGATTCACCACAAAGTCATTAAAGAGGTAACTCGATATTTACTTAAGAACTTAAAATATTATTTTACTCCAGTTACTAATATTTCTATTTTGCTCGTAATATATGCAAACTCTTCCCGATTCTGTAGCTACTCACCTTCGCGTGTCTAATATGTATACAAATCCACAGGACCAAGGTGATAGACGTTAATCGCAAGTAAGGCCAAGTGATTAGAAAGTTTATGCCGACCTAAAGTGCACATTTATCGTAATCTCTCTTTGCTTTTCGCCAAAATATAAAGTCACAAAGCTCTTCTCGCAGTTAATCCCAAGTGTTCTTCATAGTCTTTATGTCTACCTTCGATTTTCGGCTCTCTGTGTACTGTTAATCTGCTTACTTTCCTCTCTGCCTTGAGAATTTCACGCTGGGATTTGGCTTGTTATGGAGTTCGATGGTTTCCACAAACTGTCTTCTATCACCAGCGCTTTTCCGCGAAAGTAGAATATGGCTGATGTTCTTTAGTCAATGGATCTGAAGTATCTAGTTTAATTAGGCTTTTGAATACCTATACTATCTGATAATGCTTTCAGTAGTTCTTAAAGTTTCAGGTCTGTACAGTATGACTGTTTTAACATTGGTATTTAAAGTTTCAAACCATCTGAGTTATCCACTATGCATCAGGTTTCTCTTTCCATGTGAAGATTATCAAGGTCGGGCAGAAACCCGAGAGAAAAGGAAAAGATGAAAGTTGGCAGCCTTATCTTACACGACTCTATGGTTCAAAAGTTCAACGTCTCCAGAGTAAAGTAAGATCCCGAAGTCAGTTATAAAAAGGAGAAACTAGAGATGTAGAAATTGTCTAGTAAGCGAACATTCTTTTTGCGCTGATGTGGAGCACTTGCTCTTCCGGACAATTATGGAGTTAAGAAAGCAGTGGTTTGGCTAACTCACAAGCGTAACTTTCATTACGGAGAAAGGGCTAGAAAGCACTTGAGAAATCATGGGAGATACCTTATACCGGTACCATCTGTTCCGAGCAGAATACTCAGTTGTCTAGTGAAAGGAGAAGTGTGGAAGCCAATAGCCTGCTTTTCCGAGAATTTGTCATTTGTTTTATCATACGTCTGAAGACGCTAAAGCTTATGAGAAATCAAGTCGTTTTATGGTACGAATTTTATCACCCGATTTGCAAAAGTCATCATTTTGTCTACCGTAAAATATTTAATCGAGACATTTTTATAGACGTTTCGTCTAGTGGATTTGTACTCCTGTGATATGACTGCTTAACGTATGGAATTTCAGATTGAATACATACATCTGTCTATTTGTCAAGTCTATCGAAGCGTCCAAATCATCTAATGGAGATCCTTGTAAAACCGAAATTCTTAAGACAACGGTTTATCTAAAATAGCGGTACTTCATTGAATAGCATACAAAAATTAGTTACAAACCTCAACTTGTCAGGTGACTTTGACATGTAAAAATTGAACTAAGAACAAGCAACAAGAAAACTGTTGAGTTTAACCAAGGAGTAAGCGACCGAACAAAATTAAGAATATCTGCTACACTGATCGAGATAAAGCAATTATAATGATAAATACAATAAATGTTATAAGTATATGTAAATATTTCAGAATATAACACGAGCTTACGTCACAACATAAGCGTAGAAATTGTTAGGAATACAACTGTTTACTGAATATTAATAAGTAGCATAAAACAATACACAAAAGAGTCGAAGGGTAGTGAATAAGGACGGGATCGTAAAACAGACTTAACACTACCCTGACTTTCCCTGATATGATTATCCAGCCTCCACAGAACTACTCGAGAAAATGATTTAAGCTTTAAGCTTAAGCACATTATGTTATGGAGAAGAGCTGTTTATTCACCACTGCTGGATGTTACAAGTGAACTGAAGACATTTGGCTGAATAAAACCTATATATTAAATATTATTAATTTGGTTTCGTAAATTGCAAACAGATCGACATACCGTACCTCAATAACGGGAACGAACAAAAACCTGGACGTAACAAAAAGTTCTTCAATTTCGGTTCTGTGTTCATACCTTAGATTTGTCTGGACATTTCGGGTCCCATTGGTCGATTTCGTTTGGATTAATTCAAATTTGTTTTGGTAATCGATTCTTTGGAACCAAGACACACAATCGAAACGCGAAGCAAAATGACGAAGGAAAATGTCGAGATGGAAGGTGAAATTTCTAAAGCTGTTTGTGGTATGTCTGATGTTAATGATAATAAACGTGATGATGTTAGTATTAAAAGTATGTCCTCTGGTCAGCTTAGTACTTCTACAATAAAGTTAGGTAAGAAATTACTAAGGAAGAAGAAGTTGGAAAAGAGACTTGAGTTATAAAGACAGCTTAAGATGTCAGATCTCCAAGAAGAGGTTGATATAGCTGAATTAGAATGTAAGGTTGTAGATTTATGGTCTACTATGATATTAGTACTGCTCTAATAATAGACCTAATCCCAAAATTGTAGATTCGTCATGATATAACTGCCTAATCTATAAGATCTTACGTGGAAGTCACACCATCGACTACACCAACTCACTGTATCGTATCAATTACCAATACATGATGAGAAAGGTTAGGCTAGAGAAAGAACAATATATTTAATATGAATAGACGCATGGAGCCATGCCATCGATCAACTCCAGTCCATTCAATCATTTTCGCGCCTCTCCATTGTTAGGTATTTCTCCGCGTTAAATATTGAATATCTATTTTCTGAGTAGTCTCGTGTTCACAGCTTTGTGGATTGTGTGGCTATTGTCCAATGCCACTACACTACTCTCCCACAGTAACGTGATGTTGGTTCATACCAAATTGGATGGGATCGTCGCGCGCCGGAGGTTACCAAGGATAATAAGAATCCTCCGGGTATTGGTAAGCTGAAAGATAAATCAAAAAGAAAGCGGCAGCATCTGGTCGGGAAATACATGTAATAATTTTAAAATATCTGCCTTCATGTTTAAAACGCTTGAAATGAAAATTGGGTGAAGATTATTTGAGCTATAAAAAATGGGGTTACAATAATAATAATAAAACGATGCGTGTTAATAACTTAACTTATAGGCAGTAATTATTTTGTGTTTAGAAATATTAAAATAATGAATATTGTAGAAATGTTAATATTGGTATTAGTTTTGGTTTAAATTATGAAATCAGATAACGATTATGCCGGTAAGTTGTCCATAAGAGTTGAATTCCAATTGCATCTGTATTAGTAGGCTAACTGAAGGAACAAAAGTATACCGTGGAGAAGAATTCCAACTAGTGTTCCAGTTAGTTTGATACGGTTTATTTAGTTACGGGGAGATTTTCTCAACCTCATTTTTACTTGACCGTGATAGAATTTAGTAATACTACTAATACACATGAATGGTTATCAAAATAAAATTTAAATACATGAGTGATAATTATATGGATTTTGGATAGATAGCTAGGAAAAATCTTAATGTTCTGATTTGTGGCAGACTATTTATTGTATTTATACTTGCCGGCTGATTGGACATACAAGTTAGTTGCAAGTATGCAGTTTATCATAAGGCGGAACACGATTTAATTGAGATATAGTGGTTACAAGTTATTAAAATCAGTTAAGCCTATGGTCATATTACGAAGTGATGTGGTGCTGCAAGATGTATTTAGCTAAATAAAATTTTACAAGATGATTAATAGTGAGTGATGCTCATGTGATTATCAGAGAGAACATAAGTTGTAACCAGGGGGAGTACACTCCAAACTCATGTCTATGATAATGGCTTGAACCTTAGTCAGTGTTGGGGTAAATTCGACATTGATGTTTTCAGTTTGCAGGAGATTTGCTCGACTGCTTATACTGATTATTTGCATGCATGATTGTGTCGCTAAACCATCAATTAGACTGACAAGGTTTTGAGATATTTACTGAATGAGCAACTGATAGAGAAACCTACTGTAATCATCTGTAGTGAATGAAGATAAAAGAAAAACAACACTAGTGATAATTATAAGTCAATTTGTGACCGATTGTTAGTTTCATTAATTTTATCATCATATTACGTGATTGTCAAGTTATGACAATGCTTTATGACGATATCCTGAAACTAAATTTAACTAGTTATAGTGTTGATTAGGATTAGTCAGTGGAAAAATAGGTATTGTTGCTTTAGGTGATTCAAAATCATCAGAAATTTAAACGTTAAAGAATCCGAGACGCCTAATTTAATTATAAATTTCAATTCAGAAATATTCGTTTAGTGTTAATTCTAGTAGGCTACGGAGTTTTGATTTTAAACGTTTGTTTAGCCAACAGCTACTGGGGATTTAGTTATTTACTAGTGCAGTTGATAGTACCTAAATTTTTAATCTTATTATCTAAACTATGTTCGCATTTTAGGCTGCTAATATGATAAACCAATCCATAAACCCAAATACGATTAGCAACAACGACTATGATGGGTTTATTGATAAATGTTAAAGGCGAT